GAGAGGGAAAAAAAATCTTAGTAAACCATAACAGTGTGAAAAAAAAAGAAAAAAGTGTAAAGATCTTATAAGTCTGACTTGATTAAGTGCAAAGAAAGACCAGATAGACTAATGTAGGGTAATATGATCAACAAACATAAAATAATAAAAGCTATCTTTTTAAAAAATGAAATGAATCCCTTTCAGATAATTTAATACTGTATGTCTTTAAAAGTAGTAGTTTTATGATCTTTTAGTAAAATTCTGGATTAGATCAGGATAATTAAGAATAAAAACTTTGGAGTCAAACAGTAGGTTTCGATTCCCAGCACTACCAATTCCTAGTCCTGTGATTTTTTGTGAATTATTTAACCCTAAGCTCCTTACCAATAAAATGAGAATAATAATATCAGATAATTATGAGGATTAAATGAGATTATGCATGTAAAGTGCTTCTTAGTATAAGAGCAGTTACAGAAAGCTTTTGACTCATGGTAGTGGGTGAAGTGGTAATTATTTCAATTTTTAATTAAAACTTATAATAGCCATTGTTTAATAGAAAGACTTTAAAGGTATGATCTCAGGAATATATTCCAAATGATTATCCTTTATTTTACATATTAAAAGGATGTAGGGTTTTGTAAGAATGGGGCAATTTTGTTCTTTTGGTCTACATTCCTATTCGGGGAATAAACTGTGCTGTGGTCATACATTGGACTGTTCCTGTTAGAGCTAAGTCCTCTCATTTCTTTTTCATTTGGAAGGAGAGCTGAGGTGTGTTGTTCAGTGTCTGAAAGGGCAAGCAGCCTTGTTAATCTCCAGGAACGAATAGTCCATACTAGAAAGTATGCCAGTGGGGTACCCTTGACTGTTGGCCTTTCAGATTAAAGGGATATCTAATATTCCTTATTAGATGCCACATGATGATGACTGTTTTTAAAAATACACTGATTTACTGGTGTTAAAAAATATACCAGTTTTTTAAACAATTAGAATTAAAGGTAATTTAACACCATATGTAATACATAAATAAAATAATGACTGGGGCCATTGCTTGTGTCCTAAGTCTTTTATGCTTAGAAATAACACTTCTTTTCAAGACATATTAATTTGATGTAATTTGTTGATTGGGTCCAACAAGCCCTTGAGTACATTGAAGAATCATCTAATGTAACTAGTTTTTCATGGTCAAGACTTATACCTACAGTCCATATTTCTGTTATGTCCAGGCTTTGTTTCTATAAACCACCTCTTTCTCTCTTGCATTTTACTTCTACCTGCTTGAAATCTGGTGATACTTCCCTTTAATTTCTATAAATTGCTGAGATCAAGAATAACTAATATTTTTAAAAATCATCAAGTACTTTTAAAAAGGAGTGTAATACTAAAAATAAAACATTATTAAATAAATATATGATAATAGCAAGAATAAACCAGTTTCTTATATGTTGGTAGGATTGATGTGCATCCAATAATTAGGATTGCCCAAGGCCTGGGGAGTGGGGAGTGGATGCGGGGTGGAAGGGATCAATGGAGGGGAAAAGGGGACATCTGTAATACTTTCAACAATAAAGATACATTTTTTGAAAAGATAGCTTTTTAGTATTTTATGTTTGTTGCTCATATTAACACACATTAATCTATCTGATCTTTCTTTGCACTTACTCAAGTCAGACTTATAAGACATTTGCATTTTTTTTCTTTTTTTTCCACACTGTTATGGTTTACTAAGATTTTTTTCCTCTCTGAAATGCTATTTTCAATGTTCACTTCAAAAAAATTCATTCTCAGTGAAGCTCTAGCAACCCTGAAACATTTTAATGAAAATAAAAACTATAAAGATTAAATAAACCTCATCAATCCTATGTACTAAACAGATATTTGAAAAAAAGCTCACCAGTAAAAGAGGGGCTACACTAATGAACATTTCTTATGGGTGAGGCCAGTGATTGTCAGCTATGTGTAAGAATTGCTGTAGTTTTGAGAAATGCTTGCTGTATTTCCCAAGATGCACCCAGGCTTCCGCTGCAGAGCGTGCAGTAGGGGCCTGAAGCATCTCAAGCTGCAGAGAGGTCATGGGAACAGTCTTGGGAGGATTGCTGCATACATACTTTTGGCTTAAAAAAAAATTAGTACTTAGCACATGAACTGCATTGGCAAAAAGTAAAACAAAAGTAAAAATTCACCTACATACCTGTCACCCAAGTAAATGACTATATGATTCAATTTTGTGTGTATAATAAAGGAGACATATTGATGTGGGAGGCCCAGAGTGGGCCAGTTATCATCACCACAAGTTATAAGTGAACATGGCTCCGTTTTATAAATATCTATTTTACTTTGTGTTTGCAAGCTAAGTTTATTTGGTTGTGTTTTTAACCACAAAGACTGAAATTTGTGGTAGTCTTTTGGCGGATGGTACATGTTATGTCAGTTCTACTGTTTGTGAGCCAAACTCTACACTGATAAATAAAAGCACTGCTCTTGCCTTGTTCGTTTATAGCAGTTACGCTGCAGAGGGAAATCCCCTTCTCCTCTCCCAAGTGCATTAAGCTAAGCTTGAAAGCCGATTAAAAGATACTTAAAATTTTCGAAACATACGTTTTCCTATCTTCATAAATATATTTCTTGCCTTTAAATTATATTTAATGAAGTCAGTAAATTCTCCAAAATAATATTTGTACACCAAAATAATATTTTTATATATTCAGTGGTTGACCACTAAGGCATAGGCATAAACAGCGTTTGCCTTCTCATAGAATGAATTTGTGTGAAAAAGCAGTTAAAATGGTGTCTTCAGGAGCTTGGTCATTTAAAGAATGCAGAGGAAATGGCATTAAGTTTCACCAAAATGTGTACATTACTTGTTTAAACCTATATATTCTGGGAAGTTCTTGGAATGCATTTTTCCCATAGGAGCAATATTTAAAACTTAAATGGTGGTTAATTTTTTAGATAAACTCAAAAGAATGTATGTGTCTTGGTATTTTTAAAGCAACAGAGCCCCCCATTTTCCCCAAACAAAATCTTATGTAGCGCTCTACTTGATTTTCTTGGGGATCTTTTAATCCCATGTTGCGTTAGCCTAAATAAAACCTGGACTTTGTTATGAAGGTCTAGGTTATTTGTGTGCCCCAGAGGCAGGAATGCATGGAAAATCCAGCATGTCCTTCCCTTCCATCTCTTGCCTCTAAGTTTTTCTCTGTACGCCTGCTTCTTTTTTTCTGTTTCTTTCCCTGCAGAATTACTTTCTTGGTTTACTAATCTACGTGACAGAAAACAGAGCTGAGACTAGACGGAGGTGAATGAGTTGCGAAAAACTCAGTGATGGAGAGAAGGAATATTTTCATGTAATATTTCAAAGTCGATGAGCACAATATCACAGTTTTAAGTAAAGTTAGGATTAGTATAAAAATAGTTCATTTAGTGAGTTGGTTTACAAACAATAAGGCAATTTAATTTATTATATGACTTTTAATTATCATTTTTGGAATGTCTGAAAAATATCAAGTTCAATGTGTCCTTTAATTTTGGATGGTTTTAACTTTTAGGGTACTTGTTCTCCATTTGCCTAGTTGTTGGGAGAGTTTAAAACTAGTTGGCTTTCAGAAAGGTTAAGGTTTTTTTGCCTCTCTGTAATAATAAATATTCTTTTGCCATTTTAAAGTTCAAGTGGCCCCCTCCGTCAGTGTCTGTGTTAGGCTACAGTAGCCTGGAGATGATAACCTAGATTCTAAAGGGAAATGGCAGCAGTGATAGGTTACTGAGAAAGTCTCTTAACTACTAAAATAATGTGCCTTGAATTATACCCAGCCTCTGTCCTGCTCAGTCATAATGGAGTCGTTGAAAGTGATGCTCATTTTTAGGTTTGTCAAAGCAAATTAGAAATCAATGAAAGTATAAATATCCTATTTTTAATAATTGAAGAAAGAAAACAAGAAATAAAAATATATAATTGTGTGAATATTCAAAACAACGTGATGTCCAATAGTAATGGACTACTTAAGCAAGTTATGATATATCTCCATGAATTACTGTAGAATCATATCCAACTGAGGGTTTGTATACACTATAACAAATACTATGTTTTAGTTAGATTGGACGCCATAGCTCTCTCTTTTGTACAAATCAGCAGAAATAAGCACAGCTTAACACATTCCTTTCATAACTGTTTTTATCCTGTTATTGCTTTTCAAAACATAATTGAGGCAGAAGGGAGCCTGCTTAAGAATTTCCAGGTTGGAATTAATTTTGCCACTTGAGTGTATCAGAAAGTAGGCGTTAGACCCTCTAATGAGAGTCGTAAAGCCTAGTCATGGACCACATGCCAGACTATTCAAATAACTTAATTTTCTCTTTAGAGTTACACCAGTGGTTGAAAACAAAAGCTGTGAGCAGGGCTAGAGGGTTGGGGGTGGGATTAAATGAATATATAGGCAAGGAGCAATTTCAAGCTTGCCAACTTCATCCTACTTATATTTCCAACTATGCTAATCCTGAAGCTCTTCTGAGAGCCTGTTTTCCATTTTCTACTAATTTTCACTCTCTCTGTATGTTATTTTTTATCTAGTTTTCAGAAATCTGCTCCTTGAGTGGAAAATCATTTCTGTGGATGCTTAGCCAAGACATACTGGGTTTTATCTTAATTTCACTAATATTCCTGTTTGGAAGGAAAGTAAAATTGCTATAAAGGATAACTGAACTAGTATTTGTAGTTTAGAATTTTGTAGCTTTATTTTATCAAATGTGAATTGTTCCCTTTGGTCATCCGATATTTGAATTTTTAACTCTAATCCTTAATTTGGCTATTGTTGGTTCTCAAACACATTTTACTTCTTAGTCCCTGAAGTTCCAATAAAGTAAAAAACGTAAACACTTAACAACTTTTTGAACTATTGTTTATTAAAAGAGCACACCGTTGGAATGTTACATCTCAACTCTAAAGCAGCTTGGAAACCTAAAGGCCCAAAGTGTGCGTTTTTGCATGTAGCTCACTGTGCTTTTCTGTCTTCTCTTTCCAGTCAGCTGGAATGCTTGCCAGTTCTGCCGCAGGCTTCTGAGGCTGAGACCCCGAGGAACCCAGCTGGAGAATGCCGTCTGAACGCTGCCTCAGGTCAGCCCTGCAGGGTGTCCTGAGTGGTGTAGTCAGCCCCCCAGTTTTCACACTGCACTTTCCAGGACCGGTGCGGAGCAGGGCTCAACACATATTTGAAGGAATTAAGCAGCCGGTCAGAGCGTGTGTGAGTTTAGTGTGGTAGCTCCAGGGCTAACTGCTGTGATCTAGGTACTTGTCAGACCTAAATGTTTCATCATTCTTTGACTGATACTAGTTTTTATCTTTTTCTTACTTAGGATGTTCACCTTCCTCAAAAAAGGTATACTGCTATAAAGGTATATGATTTTAAAAAGAATCAGGCATTGGCTGGGTGGCTAAGTTGGTTAGAGCATTGTCCCAATACGCCAAGGTTGTGGGTTTGATCCCTGGTCAGGGCACATACAAGAATCAACCAATGAATGCATAAGTAAGTGGAACAACAAATCATTGTTTCTCTCTCTCTCAAATCAATGAATTTTAAAAAAACAGAAAGCTATACATATATATGAGTCATCCCTTTAAAGCAATCGCTGGGGAGTGTGATACTTATTCTCAAAATATGCATAACATTTTCTTTTAATAATCTATTTATTTAACAGATAGTTATTGAGCCAAGCACTCTACTTGGTGCAGAGGATCGTACAGTGAATAAAATAGATAGGTTACTGCCCTTATAAAATGTGTATTCTATGAGCAAATCACACCAGTAATGATGTAAATGTCATTGTGAGAGGTGCTTTGAAGGAAGAGTACAGGAAATGCTCTGTGATCTCAAATCTGCAGGACAGGATGATTTGGGGAAATGCCTCAGGCAGGAAGGAGCTTGGCACAGTCCTCGAATGTAGGGCATTCCTTTGAATATTCTCAGTGGAGTCAAGTCTTCATCACCGTCTGAGGAAACAGTCAAAAGGATCTCCAGAGCAAAGAATAAGAGAGGTGGTAAACCTGGGACATACCTTCTTTATAAAAATATTAGGAACTGAGTATGTCTATGAAATAATGAGACTAGCTTTCTTCCACAACTCTGAAGCTATTAGAGGTGACTAGTTCCCAAAATGTGTTCAGAAACAGAGGCATTGCTGCAGCGGGCCTGGTGCCTCTGCACTCCCCAAGGCAGTCTGCTGCTCTAGATCAGTGATTGAGGGAGATGAATTTGCCCTCAGGATGCATTGTGCAATATCTTGGCAACATTTTTGGTTGTCACTGGGGGTGGGGATGCTAAATATCTTAAAATGCATAAGACAACCTACCCCTCACTTCCTCCCCCATAGCTAAAAATCCCTATCTAACCCAGAATGTCGATTTCACTGACATGGAGAAATCCTGCTCTAGAACTGACCTCCAGCCAAGAGAGCACATAAAGACCATGGTGTCCGTCTGCCACCACCTCGGCCAAGTGCTTTATTCTTACTTTTGGCTATCAGGATCCATGTGCATTCTTCTGAAAATGGTTTTTTACTTTAAATCTGCCATCTCTGTTTTTACTGATCAACTCCCACTGCCCCCTGTCCTCCACAGCACTTTCATCTCTACAGTGGCCTTTCCTTCTTCTCTGTGATGCTGAACCCTCCCTCCCCTACCTTTGAAGCTTCCCCTGTGTCCTGTGGGACTGTTATCATCTTCCTCACCCTGAAGAGCTCTGCTCACCTCCTGACTTCATTGAGACCTGCCCTCCCCTGAGTCATCACTTCTGTTGTAGCCGTCTCCAGTGGTGGTATTATTATTTCCTCACATCTCATGTATTTTAGAGATGAGTAGAGAGATTGTCGTCACGCTGGGGCATTGTTTTGCTTTGAGATCATTATTCCTCAAAGTCGTCGTTTGAGAAAGCAACAACAAAAACAACAAAGACTTGTTTCTGAAGGTGGCGCTCTTCAACTCTCTCGCCCTCGCCTCCTCTCCACCGTTGTCTGGGTCATTTTCCCTCATTCACTGAGCATTTGGCACCTGGCTTTCAGTCGTCTTCCTCATCACAAATCCTTTACAACTTCCTACTGCCCTCAGTGTTGGCATGGAGGTCCATCCAACTTCGTGGCCTTGGATCTTCAACCTGCCTATCTCCAAAGACAGTGTCCCTCCACAGAGCGACCTGCTCCCATGGTCACACCTTAGACATTGCATCCCCAGTAGTTGCTCTGTTTCTGAAACCACTGCATCAGCCACGTTATTCTTACCAGGACCGCTTCTCCTTAGCTTGCCTTTAGCTACCTCCATCGTGGTTGTACTTTGACCTCATTGCAGGGTCTCATCTACTGGCCCTGCTACTTTCCTACCATTCATCGCCCCTGTCCCCCCTCATTTCCCTTCTTACCAGTTGAGATTCTACCATTCTTTTAAATCCTTAATTTCTCTTGCTCCCTGCATTTTCGATGGATTTGCCTGACAAAAATCCCAATTCAAATGAACCCAACTATCCACGTTTCCATGCCTACATGGTCTGGTGGAGATTGGTTCCACTAAATCTTTAGATTCAACAAGCCCAAAATGCCCAGAGTTTTAATATATTTCTGGTCCATTTATTCCCTCTCTCCTGCTATTCAGAGAGCAGTTCTTTCCCACAAATGAGCCCAGCCCTGCCTCTGTGTTTTGAATTTTGTCTTTCTTGTCTTCTCAGCAGCCTTTCACTATTGATGGTCTCTCAACTGTGTTCTGGAGACACAGCTGTGCTTCTGTTACCCTCTCTTTGGAGATGAGCCATAGATTTATACCTCTAGCCAAGACCTCTTGCTGAGCTCCAGGTCCTATACCATGTCCTCCCTTGTCCGCAGGATTCCAGCCATTAAATTCTGTGTGACAGCCATGCTCCCTCCTGCCACAGGATTATAGGACTTGCTGTTCCCCTACCTGGAAAACTCTTTTCTCCCCTGTTTGCTACAGCCCACAGCTCCAGCTGTACTTCTTCAGGGAGGCCAAGTTATTTGATTAATGTGTAACTGCCTTGCTAAACTGAATGTTCCACAGGGGGTGTTACCAGTTTAGTTTGTTCACCATTTTATCTCCAGAACCTAGCACAATACCTCTCCCAGATGAATAAATGTTTCTTGAATGAATGAATAAAGGAATGAATGAATGAAACAAAACAATTTATAATTAAGTTCTTCATAATCTTATTTCTTAATCATTCTATAAGCATATTATGTTATGTCTTCTTTGCTTATTATTTCAACCATTGCTATAAATTGTTAGCATTTATTTTAAAGTATTTACAAATTATAAAGTGGTCTATAAAAAAATAAAATGAAGCTCCATTATGGGGTCTTTTAACAGCCTAACTACTTAAGTAAATAGGGTTATTTTAATATTAATGTATTTAATTAGTATATAAATATTTTGACTGTGGAATTGAAGTCATCAGGGTATTCACTTCATAGTTCATCAGCAGACTGAACTGAGACAATCGTGAATAACTCTAGTACCAGCGGGTGTTTTGTCTAGTCTTTTCTTTCCTGTGCAGTCTACTTAAAAAATGAGGCTCCTTGTGCTACTTTACTGCTTTGATATATATGGATGTAATACCTTATTGGTGTCCTTACTTAAAGACTACTTGTACATTTTTATATATCTAAATGCTAGGTAAACATTCATATAGAAATTGACATGAATTTTAAAATTCAAAATGCAGGATGCTTAAAAACCAAACAGTTGCTTTGGAATTTAAATCTTAAAAACTGACTGAACTCAGTCAGATTTATTCTATGAAAATGGGACCCTGTGAGATTTCTGTGATCAAAAATGTTAACTCTACAAACTTGAAGCAGTGATTTGCACTAAGGTGGTACTTCACTGCGGGGGGCGGGAGGTGTACCCTGTCACGCATATCATGCTCTGCATTTGATTTTTTAGTTTTTTGCCATCAGTTTCACAATGAAAGTTAAAGACTTGAAGTCATGAATGGCTCTGTTCCCTAAGACATCATTTATTTATCTCCCTGTGACTGGATGCTGACATATGGCCAATCAAATGGTTGCTCCCTGGCATCACTAAAAAGCAATCTGCTGCTCAGGGAGTCTGGGGCTTGCCCTGCTGTCACCCAGAGTCTGGGCCGGGTGAGGCGCAGGAACAGCCTGCTCATCAGCAGCCCAATAGGGCTCCTGATGCTCCTGTAGTGTTCAGGTGGAATAAATGAGGCACACATCTTCCTGGGAGCCTGTACACTGTCCAATAGAACCATAGTGCAAAGCATATTTATAATTTAAAATTTTCAAGGAGTCACATTGTTTTAAAAGGCAAAAAGAAACAGATAAAATGAATTTTAACTCTATAGTTTATTTAACCTAGAATATCCCAAATATTATCATTCCAACATGTAATCAGTATAAACATATTAATGAGCTGTTTGGCAGTCTTTTTTTCATGCTACGTCTGGCATCTGATGTGCATTTTACACTTACAGCACATCTCAACCAAGTCTGCCTTCGCTGCAGCGGCTGTTGTATTGGACAGCGCTGTTCTAGGGGCTCCCCCCAGGAAAGGCTGTTGGGGTTGCCTTTGAGGGGAAGCCAGTCACCCTCTGCACTCAGCTGTGAATTTTGAAGTGGCAGCATTGCTTATATGGAGGACTGTTCCCAGTTTTAGGATGACCTCAGATCTGTGCACTCTTGGGAAATATGCCTCATGTTGTGTCCTTTCTCCGAAATTTAGGAAGTTTCGGGAACATGGTTTTCTGTCCTTTTTTGTTCCTCAAATAATAGAGGGACATTGCTGCAAGTTGGGAGGGTTAGTGTGCTAGTTCGGTGTAAGTTATAGGTGCCCAGGGAGCCATTTGCAAGCGTCTGCCTGCTCCGCACCCTAATGTAGACCTGGTGCATTATAGGCTTTGGTCACCTCCTCCTGGTGTATGTCGCTGACTTCAGATGGGCCTGCCGGCTCCCGGCTGTGTTCTGTGGCCACATAGGCCTTAACATTTAGACGGCTGAGGTCTTTCGCAGATTTACATCTGAGAGTGTGTGGGAAGTTACTTTCAGACTACAATAATGACTTGTTGATTAATAGACATTTGTTTCTTGCCAAATGTTGGAGTATTTGTTTCTGCTTTTAAGAATTCTTAGCATATTGGTTCCAAAATATTTGGAATCTTGAGCCAAGTTTTGCCTTAAATATTTAGCATGTTGTTTTCTTTTAGCTTGAATATTTCGAGCCCAGCTGAACGAGTCTGTGGAATTGTGCAGCCTCGCAATTGTTTCAGAGCTAAGCCCTTTATTCTTTGTCAGATTTCAGTTTACAGCTGTTCTTTCCCTGGCAAGATTTATTCACTGTCAATTGATATCTGAAATTCAAATACTGATTCAGTCTTAATAAAGGGACACAAATTGTGGCACTATATTTGGAAAATGAGTAAGGAAACATTTTAAGGCAATTATTTTAATATATTCTGTTCCACTACAAATGAAACTTCAAAATACATTTATTAAGCATTTAAGATGATATTAAAAGGGAGAAAAGTTATGAGAGTTTCAAGTAATTTTTAAGGTTATAAAAAAAATCTATTCTCTAGTTCAAATCTTAAAGTGCAAAGATAGATGTTTTGAATCATAAATTCAAACATTTCTCATCACTATCTCATAGAAATGTGTTCATGTATATTATTTTTAAAAGGCAACTTTGATTTTGAGATTAACTATGCATAATATAAATATAAAATTGTTATGGACTATGATTTTTTTCTTTGCAATCATAGATTCTTGATATATTTTTTATAGATTATCACATTTTTTTGTTTTTTTAAGCAGGGGGATGAATTTGCACTATTGTGTTCTTGGTGATAGGTTCTCAAAATGCCTGATCTTGGGCTTTCGGTTTTATCTGTAAAACAGAACTAATGATAGTACCTGTCTCATAGGGTTGTTGTGAATGTTAAGTGAATTAATAATCATAAGTCACTAAGACTAATTACTGGAACATAGTAAGAGCTTTGTGTTTGTAAAATATATAAAAATGTTCTCTTATTTAGGAGAGATTTTTTAAAAAAATATTTTAAAGCTTTACTGAGCTGATACAATATTTCTGTTACTATTGTATTCCTTCATTTCTTCAATTGAGCCATGCTAATTAATCTCTATTTCAGGCTTTGCATAAAAATTTATGCTTCTGAATGCAGTTTTCAATTGCTGATAGCTAGAGCCGCTAGATGAATATTTGATGACAGTAACCATTTCATAACCTACTGCTGCATAACACACAACTGAAAATAATCCTCCCACCTTCCCACCAGAACTTCCTATATCATCACCTTCTGTCAAGTTTTTTCTTTTTCTTTCAATAGGTCTGACATTTCTGAGGCTCCCCAGTCAGAAATGTCCAATACAGCTTACTGGCCACACTCTGGCATTTCACAGGAAGCACTGACTTCACTTTCAGGTGGGGTGATTTGTGCTGAATCGTAATCTGTCAGCCAGCTCGTACCACAGGCTGGGCAGAGCCCTGTCAAATAAATTAAACATGCAGTCTAGGCCAGTGGTTACTCCCTAAATCTCCTGAGTGGCTCCTTCACACTCAGAGGGAGGGACTGGATGCAGGAGGTGTCAGGATAGGAGAGAAGATGCTCAGTCAATTTACTCAGCTTGATGAAGTGTCCACAGGCCTGAAAACAGGGTTGACAGCCCTTGTTTCTGCTCTGGGCGTAATTTATGACAGGTGCAGCTCCCCCATCTTAGTCCAGTGCCAGTTCTGAGAGTTTAGAGCACTGGAGATGTTCATACATCTAAGCTGGAAATGTTCATAGCTGCCTACAAATGCAGTTTGCATTTTGTGTTTATGGCATTACTTTTACATTATTTTAGGAAGATCTGGGGCTTCATCTAGGAGTTTTGAAAGGACATGGGAAGAGTATTTTAGAATGGGTAGGGAATGAAGGGGTGAAGTTTCACAGTGGGTAAATTTGCTACTTTGAAAAACAGAACAGAAAATAAAATTGTATAGTCATTCATAAATCCAGTACAATGATCATATATAGACATCAATGGCTGAAATTATAGACATATTTTACTTTCAGCCTTAAGTTTTTTTCATGGCATTCCTTTTGATGTTCATAATTTCCCAAGTTTAATAATCAGCAGCTGTGGTTTAATTAATTGCTTTTTATATGGAATGGTCACTGTCAGCCCTTTTTTCTCTAACTTACACGTGCTCAGTTTTGTTTTACTTATTGATGGAGTATTGTGTGCTGTGGGAACTTGGTGACTTCCTGGGCCTCTGGTGACTCAGGCAGGCCCCTTGGATTCCGTGCTGGATCAGTGCATGGCCGTGATCTTGCTCTGAGCTTGCGCCATCCCCACCCAGGAGTCACAGCTGAGAAGGAAGCGGAGAGTTCGGGAGGGGGCACAGAGTGGACAGGGTCACAAGCAGACGCGCACAGTTGAGATCCGCTTTCACTCAGAGGTGTACACAGCCTGAGGACGGAGGCTTAGGAGCAGCGGCTCACAGATGCACAGACACGGGTCAGTGCCCAGGCACAGACGGACTTGCACGCAAACACAAACTCAGAAAGAGAAGCACTGGTAGGAAAGAAAAAGAGCCCTCTGGGGCTGAGGAAAGAGAATTCTAGAAAAGAGCAAGAGCATGGTGGAGAGAAAGAAAATGGGGGAATACAAATCCCACTCCCACAGTGCCCTGGACCCCCCAGCCCCTAAGTGGGTGTAGAGGGAGTGAGGGACATGGGGGCAGCCAGGGCTGGCCGAGGAGGAATGCTGACTTGATTGCTCTTGTTCATAGTATTCAAGAAATGCTGACAGGCCAGAGGCTCTGCCACTCGGACTCTCACAATGACAGTGTCCTGGCAGCGCTGAATCAACAGAGAAGTGACGGCATCCTCTGCGATGTCACCCTGATTGCCGAGGAACAGAAATTCCACGCTCACAAGGCGGTCCTGGCAGCATGCAGCGACTACTTTCGGGTAAGTCAAGGTGGTTTGTTTCTCTTAAGAGGTCAATTAAACAGAGGACGGTAAAGTTCCCTGAGTGTCACACCACCAGCAGCCAATTAGATGATGGTTCCCAGAGTTGAGAACGTTGGGGGCCTTTCCTGGGCAGAATGAGATTGGGGCCCTATTGGGATCCTCCCTCGGCTGGATATCCGGATGCCCCTCCGGTGGCACCTCCAGACCTCTCCTTTGCGTCTGAGTTGAGGGGCATTTGACATGTGACCTTCGTAAGAAAGTGTGGCATTGTCGTGCTTCATAATGGGGGGTGGGCTCTGGGTAGAGTGTTTCTAGAATCGGGATCACAAGGAGACTCTGGAAACAATTTGTTGAAAGAAACAAAGTTCCTAAAGATAGGTGATGTTTCCGATTTTTAAATTTTCTATGCATGTTCTCGTCTTAGTGCTTTCCAACTATTTGCTCCAGGGAGAGAGATGCAATTGGCCTCATGGACCTTTCTGGTTGACTTGTGTGCATGTGGCTGCAGAAGACATGTTGTCTTGTTTAGCAGGACTTTGGAGTTTGATTTTTAGTGGCGAATGAAATGTGGTGGCATGTTTGTTGATTTTTTTATGATGAATGTGTATTGTTATAACTAAATGCCATCAATTTAGTACTTCCTGTGATTCAGAGGGTGGAAAAAGGATTTTATATGCATATCTCATATAATCCTCATAATCACATACATGTACTATAAAAATTAACATTTTACATACATGAAAACTGAATCTTAGAAGTAATTTGTTATGAGTTAAGTAATTTGAGATAACTCATAGGTTAAGTAATAAGTCACACAGTTCCTTTTAAAATCCACTCTTAACTAACATGCTGATTCTACCTCTTATATGGATATAAGAAAAAATCTTGATAATCATTAACCAGAATATTATGAAATATTAATTTCTGAGTATACATTATCTAATTCTTATTTAATTTTCTTTTCAATGGTATTTTGGTTAATAATCTAAAAACATAACAGCATACCATCTCTATATAAGTGAGAATATATATGTACATTTTTATTTTTATTTTTTTAAATATATCTTTATTGATTTCAGAGAGAGGAGAGGAGAGAAGGAGAGAGGGATAGAAACATCAATGATGAGAGAGTCATTGATCGGCTGCCTCCTGCATGCCCTCAACGGGATCGAGCCCGCAGCCCAGGCATGTGCCCTGACCAGGAATCGAACCCTGATCGCCTGGATCCCAGGTTGACGCTCAACCACTGAGCCACACCCGGCCAGGCTATATATAAATTTTTAAAACTCCCGTTCAGAAAGTCTCAGAAATGATACAGGAACCAATTTTGACCCATGGGCAATTTGTTAGTTTTATTTGTATATTTTCAAAAATCTTGTTTTTGATGATTAAGAGACAATATCAGCTGCACTCAATTGTGAACCTGCAGTTAAAGAGAATTTTCAAAGATGCTAAATCATAAAAGAAAGACTTTTAGAAAAATTGTTTTAAATGTGGTGAAACCTACTAATGTAGAAGATAAAGAGGTAATTACTTAAAATGTCTACCTAAAAATAAAAAGTAGGGATTTAATTCTAAACTGCAGAAATGAAGCAGATATCTGAAAAGAGTTCTTTAGTTGCATTAGCATAATGATACATTTTTTACATTTTCAAATTGTTGGGGATTAATCTTCCAGAAAGGTTACAGTAATTAGAGGGCCTTTCAAACAACATGCTTTACTTTAGGTTGTTATATATATCAGGTGCACATTATATAATATGAGTTTTGTCTTCCTGTACACCATAATATAACCCTCTTGTTGCTTTTCTTCTCTCCTCTGAAGTATCTCCTGATTGGGTTTTTTATTTAATTTTGGGAAATGGTTTGATTTTGTGCATGTGTGTATGTGAGCAGGTACATGCATATGAGTACAAGAGATCGTTTTCCTTGTTGGCATTTAATAGTATTTGCGGCTACTCCCAGTTCTTCTTCTCTTCTACCACAGTGCCCCTGTTGCTCTGGTAGGTTAGACTCAGAGTGCCTCCTTTATAATACCTATGTTATAATGCTTGTGAAGAAAGCTTTATTATTCCCATTGTGCAGATAGGGGAGCTAAAATGCAGTGTACATAAATAACCCACCGTAGGATGGCCAGATATAGAGAAGAGCTGATTTTCACACACCGGAGCATCTGTCTCCTTGAGTTCCGAGTGTGCTTTCTTCACATGTCCTACTGGGCTCATACACAGTTCCTTCAATTTCATCACCTGTTTGTGAGATGAAAATTAACTGACTTGTGTATTGATTGTTCTGATCAATAAACCAAGACAAAGTTGGAACAATTGGCACTTCTCTTTTCTAGGCACTGTGCTAAGTGCTGGAGTTAAATACTTAGCCATAGACTGAGTCTTGTACCATGTATCTTTTGTTAGCGTTTGTTGCATAACAAACCACCCCAAAACTTAGAAGCTGGATAATTGCTCTGGGCTGCCAGCTCTGCTGATCTATGCTGGCTTCCTTCTCACCATCAGCGGTTAACTGGAGAGCTGGCTGGAGCCTGGATGATCTGCATTGGCCTTGTTCACGTGTCTGGTGGTTGGTAGGCTCTTGGCTGGGGTAGTGGGGGACACCGGGCACATATTTCTCATGAACAGACTAGCCTGGGCTTTTTCACATACAAGAGCTCATGTAAAGAGGACATATGCAGGGCACAGGTGCTTTTCAAGCTTCTGCTTGTATCCTGTTTACTAATGTCCCATTCGGCAAGGAGGTCACGTGGCCAAGTCCGGAGTCAGTGTAAGAGGGCTTCCCAAAGGGTACAGATGCCAAAGGAGGAAGAATTATGGCCATATTTGCAACCTACCACGGTCAAGAACTGTCAAGGATCTGTGGCTTACCCTACGCACATGCCAGAGAGTCGGCCGGGCTCCTGGACTGTGCCTTCATGCTGTGTGGTTATCCTTAGCTTCCTCTTGGTGTCATGTCATG